TGAAGATCATTTTTGATGATGTCTAGTTCCTTCTCGAGACCTTCCTTCGTATTACAGAGCCCAAAAGCACGGTCTAATAGAGTCTTGATGATTCCTCTTTTAGTCGATTGATGGTGGTTGGATTCGTGGTTCAGATACTGTCCCGTATGAGTGGGTTTTCGGTATACAGATGTTTCCCACTTAGTGTCGGTCCTTTTTACCAAAACGTCTAAGAATGGCAATTCGTTGTGGATTGATGGAAGGTCTCACGCTATTGATGTGTTTCCAGAGATGAAATTCATGCGGCTAGGTATAGGAACATTTTTGGGAAGAGTGCAGGGCCACAAATTGGCAGTTTCTTCAGCCGTATCAGAATATGACATTTTAAAAATTGAAACTTTAAAATACCGTATATGTACACACCACAACCGATACAACTACGGCTAAGGGCTAAGAAGGCTAATTTACCGCCTGAGCGGTGATGTGGAGTACTAATAAGGGGGGCGTGAATGCTTGAATCGCTACGAAACTCGTTCCATCCTGCGTCGATGACGTCATACGCTTCCCCCACTCCTGTTTGAACCAAAAATTGCAGAAAGTTTAGCTCCATAAGAAAATACATGGGAGTTTGGTCCAGAATCCGCCTTGTTCATCTACTTACCCAATGGATGCAAATGTGCGAGGTGGGCATGCTTTGATCACGCATCTATCATTGTTGGGGTTACTTAGTTTGTTGGATGGACATAATTTAGTTGAAGTTGGATTAATTCTGCTACGTTACAGAGTTGAGAAATTGCGAATAGCACTAAGATAATGGTCATAGTTGTCGATGTCGTTGTAGGTCTCCAAGTAGCAAGAACTTCGTTAGCAAATTAGCCTTTCTCACAAAACCGGTTTGGTGTTAGGATAGACCTCCAGTAAAATTCATTACTACACCAAACGTTCCAAACTAGACGAATTGTATATACGTTAAAACTCACCGACATATTCCTTGTCGCACTTCTCAAGCAGTTCCAACCACTGCTTCCCGTCGATCCTGGGCAAATCGAGGGTGCCTCCGTAATTTTCGGGCAAGCACTTCGGGCTGACGTGTTGATGCAGGGATTTGCGGTCAGTGCCGTGGAAGTAGAGACGGCTCCTCAGTTTCTCTCTGAGGAACGGCTTGAAGAGAGCGAACACTATTTTGAAGACGTACGGCTGGTTCACGATATGGATGGCTTT